CCCTGCTCGGAGTCTGAACCCTGCCCAGGGTCCTCCACATTGTCCAGAGCCGACTCATAGGGTCTCTCGCTATCAGAGTCTGTCGGCAGCTCCAACGGCTCCTACTGGGCCACAACAATTTACTATGACTAAAAGATGGTTTAAATAAGATCTAGTTATAGCTTGCTACCTAGGGACTGTTTGCCCAGCTAGATGATGGTTTATCACCTAGTTAACACATGGATGAGAGACAGTGGTGGGTTTCAAATCCCATTCCAGTATGGTTGGAATGGGGCCTGCGGTGTCCTCATGGATGCCCGCAGTACGCGCATGCTTTTTAGCGCTTTTGTGATGCTCTGCGACACTCCAGCTGCTCCGTGGAGCATCACACAGGTGCTGTATGTGCCATGTGCCTGCGTGGAAGCGCAGAAGCCTTTAAATACTGGTAAGGAGCTCAGGTGGGCCCTCTGGAGCACTGTACTGGAAGAGTATCTGGTGTTCTGGGCTGGCTCCAGTATGCCTGTACCGGGGCATATCGCCTGCAACCCACCACTGATAAGAGACCACCAGAAGATCAGGGCTGTAGTCTTGGTGAGACATCACAGAAATAATTTGGAAAAAAAGTGCAATGGTAAACCATTTATATATTGTTCCCAGGAAAACAACATAATGGTGGTAATTAAAATCACTAGGACCTCAAGCTTTATTTAAAGACAAATTTACATTTTAGTATCTACTTTCCAAAATAAAATATTCACATTTTTGTAATTAGGATTCCATCATTTCTTATTTACATTTAAAATTTTTTTTTTTAAATCTTGCCTTTATTATTTCCATAAATAACTCAAAGTGGATAATATACCTAATATTCCTTCCTCCTCCTATTTTTCCCATTAAAAACTTGTGAAATGGGTCGCCTGAGAGAGAGGGACTGACCCAAAGTTGCCCAGTTGGCTTTCATTCCTAAAACGGGATTAAAATTTGCAGTCCCCTGGTTTTTAGCCTGGTACCTTAACCACTAGACCGAACTGGTTCTCCAGTTTGCCTTTGCCAATATTTTGGTGGGCAAACTGACCATTTACCGTATTATTTGCTCCATAAGATGCACTTTGCTCTATATGGAGAACCTAGGCAGCCAGGAACTGTGGTGAGGCATGTTGCACAGCAACAAAACAACCTTTATTCCAACAAGTTAACAAGGCAAAGGCAAGTCCCGAACTGGCAACAACAACATTTGCCACCTGACAGCTCTTTATATAGGAGTTGTCAGACACACGGAACAATAGGGAGGCAGCATTCTCCAACCAGCTGTCTGCTCACATCTTAAAAAGAGGTAATAAAAAGGAGGAAGGAGAGTATGCTGTCCAGTGATGGGGTCCAATTTTTTTTTTACTAGCGGTTCTGTGGGCGTGGCTTGGGCGTGGCGGGCATGGCTTCCTAGGTGTGGCAGGGGAAGGAAATTAAAATCTCCATTCTCTCCTCACTTCAGGGGAAGGTTACTGCAAAATCCCCAGTCCCTCCTAATCAGCTGGGAGGTGGGAGGCAGAGAATAGATGGGGACGGGGCCAGTCAGAGGTGGTATTTACCAGTTCTCTGAACTACTCAAAATTTCCGCTACCTATTCTCCAGAAATGGTCAGAACCTGCTGATGCTGTCCACCTTGACTTATTAATAAAGACAGAATAAAGTTTTTTTTTTAAAGAAAGGATAGATAGGAAATGTCTGAAATCCTAATTGCATAAATATGAATATTTTATTTTGGAAAATAGAAATTAAAACTTGTTGTAATTAATGAAGGCTAGCACCAGGGTTTTTTCCCCATAGAGGACATTAAAATATTTTTAACCAGATGGTTGTGTAAAGATTAACATGTTAATTTAAAATGTATGGATACTTAGGAACTGCTCGGCAATTTTAAGTTCGTCAGATAACTGAATCACTTAGAGATTACTGGGTTTCTTAGGAATTTTAGATAAGACATATGAAGCCTTTTTCTTTTACTCTGAGAATCTGGATTTTGAGTTTTTTTCTTTTTCTTTTTTGCTGTCACATGAAGGAACAACAAGAACATGTTTGTCCACATATAAATCAAGGTTAGCATTATATTCTTGGCAGATGCAGACCAGTCTGCTCTACATAGAGGGTGAGTTTAAGCTACTTGTTGAAAAACCATGAATGTGAAAACATCCTGTCTTTCTAACCATTTTCAGGTTTATTTGACTTGGCCTGTGCCCAACTGTGCTGAAGGATGTCCGGGTTCATGGATTAAAGATGGTTATTGTGATAAAGCCTGTAACAACTCTGCTTGTGACTGGGATGGAGGCGATTGTATTGGTAAGGAGAAACACATCTTAATGCCTGGTCTTTCACATTTCAGGAACCAGTTATTAGGTGGATGACAGGCTTATGTTTTAGGAAGCCACAGATGCACATTCATCAGGCTGTCTTGAGCCATTCGGAGGGCTGGTTACAGTGACAGGACATTTTAGTCCAACGTTCAGTGGTAAGCATGACCACGCAACTGCATCTGTGCAGGAAACAAATCGCTTCCCCTGCAGCCATGCTTATCTGATATGGACATATTTCTACAGAGAAAAAAAGAGACCTGGGTGTGTAGCAGTGTTGATTTTACTACAAGCAATGTGCAATTGCTACTCAGTCTTTGTTTTACTTTTAACTTTCCCACCATTTGGATGGAAATGGTTATGTTTGTGTTATGGAGCAGAGCTGGCAACAGATTTGGACAGTGAGAGGGTTGGGGAGGAACATGGGCCAGTCCTGGAATCTGGGGAAAGCTCTAATGAGGGCTCTGTGTCGCAGGCAGAGAGGGGGCCAGGGCCTTACGGCAGTTATCAGCTGCCTTTGGAGTCAGACATCAGTGAGGCTGATGAACAGCTGGAGACCGTTCCCAGTGTGTGCATGCGCAGAGTTGCCAGATGAAGGGAACAGCTAAAGAACAAAGGTCGACTTGAGAGTAAGGCTACAGGTGGACAATGAATGGCCCTCCCAGAGGAAATAAAAGAGGAGTGAAAGGGGAGTGGAGTTTGCAGGAGACAATTAGTTTGCTTAATTGGTTTGTGACTCTCTGAGGTGTTTTGCCAAGTTTTGTAGATATCCCAGATAAAATCTGTGACTGTAAATCCTCCCTTGAAAGACTCTGCTGGATGTGAATGAGCAGAATTCACAATGAATTAATAAAAGTGGTTTTTGTCAGGAGAAGGAGTTTGCTGCATACTCTTAGGAAGCCTAGGCCGGAACGGTTGTTTGATATGCTGTAGAGATGTACCTAAAATTTCTCATTACAGGCAGTCCTCGACTTACAACAGTTCATTTAGCGACCATTTGAAGTTACAATGGTACTGAAAAAAGTGACATGTCCATTTTTCGCATTCATGACCATTGTCGCCTCCCTGTGGTCATGTGATCAAAATTCACTTGACAAAGACACTTGACAACTCATATTTATGACAGTTGCAGTGTCCAGGGTCATGTGAGCCCCTTCTATGACCTTCTGACAAGCAGAAGTCAATGGGGAAGCCAGATTCACTTAGCAACTGTGCTACTGACTTAACACCTGCAATGATTCACTTAACAACCATGGCAAGAAAAGTTGTAAAATGAGGCAAAACTCACTTAACAAATGTCTCACTTAGCAATATAAATTTTCAGTTGTGGTTGTAAGTCGAGGGCTACCTGTATGTTCATATCCCAGTGTTAATATCTAAACTAGTGGTTTACCAGGATTTGTTGGCAGTTCCTTCATGGTGGTGAAATGATAGCATTTCCTCAGTGAAAAGGCCAGAACATCTGAAGTAGCTGCAATGAATTAGCAGAATAGTGAAGGGTCTCTTTAGTTCCAATTATCTCCCTCTTCCCCTTTCCCCCTTCTAGATGGATTAAAAAGTAGAACAGTCCTATTTGCATTAGTCCTGACCTTTATTTCTAAAAGAATTACCCAGGCAGGGATTTGTGTGTGTGTGTGTGTGTGTGTGTGTGTGTGTGTGTGTGTTTGATACTTGGAATATTGAAAGCTTTAAGAAAATGTTGTTTTCTATACACAGTTAACCCTTCACCAACAACCACTTGCACAATGAATTTTCAAACCTATGACGAGTTCCCTAGAAACCCTACTCCCAGTCTGGTTTTGAGTTGCAAGGCCGCGCACCCCTCCCACAGTACCAAGTGGCTGCATTTTGAGCATTTGGCAACCAGTTCATCTTTATGGCTGTTTGCTGCATCCTGTTATCAGATGTTTGAGCCTTTTTTTTCCTGGTTCCCAGCATTTACTTCTGATATCTGACCAAAAAAAACCCTATTGAGGAAATATAATTCACATAATGATCTCTGCCTCCTTAAAAACGGTGGCATTAGCTTAACAATGGTTGAATCCAGTCATGAGATGACTCCACTTGCAACCAAAATGAGTTATTTTGGGCTCAATTGCGGTCATAAGGTTCTGCCAGCGGCCCTATGGGACCCAGAGTAGGATGGAGCCCATTGGATGGCTGGTGTGATGTGTTGTTGCCCGGGTGAGGGGGCTATTATATTATTATATTAATTTATTATTTGATTATTTTCTTTTATTAGAATGTGTGTGTGTGTGTGTGCATGTGTGTGTGTGCTTGTGTGTGCACACACACATCCTGTAAGCTGCTTTGAGCTGCCATGTTCAAATAGGCAGCAATGTAAATTTTCAAATAAAGAAATAAATATAAATAAATGAGTCAAGGGTTACCTGTAAAACATTTTACTTTTAAATATATAAAAGCAGTTCATAGTTTAAGAGTTAAGCCACAATTAGACTTTTTAATCATCCCTTTTTTTTCTTTTACTTAAGATTTTCCACCTTGGCAATATGTGGCACTGCCATTTTTCCCCCTTTTTTTAAGGTAACAGTGTGGGTAGCCGTTACGGTGCTGGTGCTGGAGCTGTTGGAGGTATAGGAAATGTCCCCGCCTGGCAATTTGGTGCAGGAATAAGTGGAGTTTCTTATTGCAACCAAGGCTGTGCAAATTCATGGCTGGCTGACAAATTCTGTGATCAGGCATGCAACGTTCCCTCTTGCGGATTTGATGCTGGTGACTGTGGACCAGGTATGTCTATACGTATTTAGTAACAAGGCCTTGTTTAAAGTGAATTCTTCGGGGAACATGCCTGTATTTCTTTGTTTTTTTGAAAATTCACACTCTTTGTGACTGTATGGCAGTGGTTCTCAACCACTCTATGTGACTGCTATGGCAGTGGTTCCTAACCTTTTCTTCGCCACGGATCCCCTTAAAATATCTTTTGTAGCCATGGACCCACAAGTCTTAACTCAAGATTGAAATCATAACATTTCTTCAAATCTTTGCAGACCCCCTGTGATGACATCACAGCCCCCTCCCCAGGTGTCTGCGGGCCACAGGTTGAGAACCACTGGGCTAGGGTATCCACAGCTCATTTCCTGTATATATCATGTAGAAATATAATTGTCCACTTTGATTAAACATCAAAAACTGGAAAATGCTATTTGTCTTAGAAAGAGAAGATAATGGGAAATTAGCAGATCAAAACAAGTTAGTATGGTGTAGTATTGATTTGGAGTTATGGATACCCATTTCCAATTCAATAAGTGCACAGTGTCCAGTCACATATTTTCTTTGCCGAATCTATTCCATTGAATTGTTAATAACAATAACACTTAGATTTATATACCACTTTGTAGTGCTTTTACAGCCCTCTCTAAGTGGTTTACAGTCAACATATTGCCCCCAACAATTTGGGTCCTCATTTTACCCACCTCGGAATGATGGAAGGCTGAGTCAACCTTGAGCTTGGTGGGATTTGAACTGCCAAATTGCAGGCAGCCGACAGTCAGCAGAAGTAGCTTGCAGTACTGCATTCTAACCACTGTGCCACCAAGGCTCAAAACGATAACCTGGAACAAAGGTAGGATGAAAACAACAGCACTATGTAAATAACAATGCTCTCTTCTTCCAGATCACTTTGGTGAGCTGTACAGGGTAACTCTTCAAAAGAATCAGACTCATTATATCATCCCGAAAGGTGAATCTCTACCTTATTTCAGCTTTGCTGAAATAGCCAAGAAAGGACTAGAAGGCGCTTACAGTGACAACCCAATCATACGCCATGCTTCTATTGCTAACAAATGGAAGACAATCCACTTGCTAATGCACAGTGGAATGAATGCATCTGTGATTCATTTTAATCTTACGTTTCAAAGTAAAGATGAACAAGAATTCAAGATGCAAATAACCTTAGAAGTGGATACCAGGGAGGAATCCAAATTGAATACAACTGCCACTCAGCAGCCTGAGGGAGATTTGAAAGCTACAACTTCAGTGCCAGAAGCGGAAATGATATTTGAGGATATTCCTGAAGAAAGACGTTTCCCAAGAGTTAAAAAACGTCTCAACGGTACATTCAATAATTTAGATGAAGAAACGGTAATTCAGGCAGTTAATATGTCTGCGCTTCCTGAAGATGTAAAGATAGCTCTGCAGAATTTGGAACTTCAGCTGATAGTTGGCGATATCACTCAGAAGGGTTATAATCTATCCAAGGCTGCTCTCCTTCGATCACTCCAGTTGATGCCTACAGAAAGAAAGATGGGGCTAAATGATCTTGAGGAATCGAGGAAAAGGGACAAAGGGCTGAAAATCGTCGGAAAGACCATGCTTTGGCCAAGACCATCCCAAAGTGACAATGAAGGCAAAATAGTAGCTACAGACAAAATGCACAATATATCTCTACCAGGATTTGCACCAACAAGTAGCATTTTGGTGGAAATGAAGGTAACCAATGATTTTTCTCTAAGCTACCGCTCTACAGTAAAACCAAAACCCACATCTGTTGTCAGAAATGTGGATAAAAAGCATGGATCTCAGGATAAAGCCTTGAATATCCTTATGCAGAAAGAAATCCAGGAAAGGAAAATTGAACAACGAAAGAAGAAAGAAATAGATGTAAATCCACCATTTTCTGAGGCAGATATAGCAGAAGGTCCAAGAAGAAAATTACAGTATTACACTGGAAATTATCAAGGCTTTTTGCCCTGGGAAAAACATAAGTATTTCCAAGATCTTCTTGATGTGAGTATACAAAGGACTGAAATGTTTTAGCAATGGCTTTTTACTTATATTTAGACCTTACTGAATTCTATATATGGGTTTTTTTTTTAAAAAAAATCTATTGAGGGAACATATTACAGAGTAACTCATAAATTTAGTAAACAATTATATTCAACTAGTGCTTAATAATATAACCATGTGTGTATATGCTCAGAATTAACCTCAGTTGAGTTTATTAGAAATTATTCCCAACTGGACTGTTTGTGTAAGCATGATGTGTGTCCTTGTTTTTTTAGGAAGAAGAATCATTAAAGAAGGAACTGGCTTATTTTATAGAAAGTAAAGTTGTTGGAAGGCAGCTGAAAGATACATTTGCTGATTCCCTCAGATATGTAAATAAGCTTCTAAATGGAAAATTTGGATTCACCTCTCGGAAAGTCCCTGCTCATATGCCCCATATGATTGATCGAAAAGTCATGCAGGAATTACAGGATCTGTAAGTCCAATGGGGAAGGCTAATTAGTCTGTTTATTAATTTAAATATTTTTCTCCCACATTTCTACTTGAAAACCACTGTGACTAAATACTCATAATTCTTGGTTGCTTGAAATACTATAAAAGCTCATTGGAATATACACGCTTAGCATGGTTTGTGCTCAGTTAACTTCAGAATCTTAGAATGATGTAGGACTATCAAAGTTGTTTTTCTAAGCTGTTCAGGCAAACATCTTTGGCTGTTCAGTGGTTGGAGACAATATACTTAATTTTTGCATTTAATTTTTGGGCCAAAATTGTATAAGAACTATTTACAATAAAATGATACTACTGAAAATGACAGTTGTATACCATCTTCCAAAGGAAAAATTATTTAGAAACCATGGTGGCGCAATGGTTAGAATGCAATATTGCAGGCTAACCCTGCCCACTGCCAGGAGTTATCAAGATCACGTGACGTGTTAATGCCACTTTATAATGCCTTGGTAAGGCCACACTTGGAATACTGCATTTAGTTTTGGTCGCCATGATGTAAAAAAGATGTGGAGACTCTAGAAAGAGTGCAGAGAAGAACAGTAAAGATGATTAGGGGACTGAAGGCTAAAACATAGGAAGAACGGTTGCAGGAATTTGGTATGTCTAGTTTAATGAAAAGAAGGACTAGGGGAGACATGATAGCAGTGTTCCAATATCTCAGGGGTTGCTACAAAGAAGAGGGAGTCAAGCT